TCGCAACAATACATCGCATCAACAACAACAACAAAATCTCAACAACAACAGCAACAACAACAACCAATCAGAGCCAACCATTTTCATTCGAGCCCAACAACATCAGTTTGATGGCAACGATAACAAAGATATTTGACACGTGAACAGCTATAACCACAAATAAATCACAAACAACAACAACAAACACAACAACAAACACAACAACAACAACATCAATGACGCCACATCAACAACAACAATATCATCATCAACAACAACAGCACAACGACAACAACGATTTTTCACTCAACTTCTTTCTCTCAAAACGACAAAAACACTAAATAGAATATTGATATTGGTGTCACACATCGTCATCATCACCTCCCTCACCATCACCATCTTCATCATCATCTTCTTCTTCTTCATCATCATTTTCATTATTTTTACATGTATTTGCTTTTACAGTTCAACTCTCATTTCGTCTGGCCTCTCTTACTTTTTCTCACTTTCTTTTTGTCTTTTTCTCTCTCTCTTTCTCTCTCTCTTTCTTTCTCTCTCTTTCACTCTCTTTCTCTCTCTCTCTTTCTTTCTTCAAATTATTTTCCTTCTCACATTTATGCCAATTTATAATTTGTGGTCCATCTCTTCGTCTTTTCTTCGTCTTCGTACTCATACACACGCACACACACAAACACACACACAAGCATACATACACGCACAAACATGCACACAGACACAGATACACACACACACACACACATCTCTTCGTCTTTTTCGTTTTTCAAATTTTTCTTCGCTTTCTCTTACCCCTTCTCACAACTGACTCACACTTCTTTCCATTAACATGTTTCCATTTTCCAGTTTAAATTCTTTTCTATAACCCGAGCCAACAAAATACAAATATCACGACATACCATGGCCACGCACATACAAACACACACACACATACATACATACACACACACACACACATACATGCACACATACATAGACACATACGTACAAAGCAGTTAATAATCACGCGTCCAATTCACTGGCAAAGTACTGGAGGAAACCTTCAGATGTTTCTACACTTCGAAAAAAAATTGTAAAACTATTTGGAAAGTTATTATCTTTTAAAATTCTCAAAGAACACACTTACACTTCAAACGTACTCACACACACACACACACACACACACACACACACACACACACACACACACACACACACACACACACACACACACACACATACACACACACACCACATACACATTCACACTAACACACACAAACATACAAGCATACATACACACACACAAACATACAAGCATACATACACACACATGCATGCACACAAACACACACACACATATAAGCATACATACACACACATACATGCACACACACACACATATATTTACTTAATGCAAACGAACTGCAAACAAAAACCACTTAAAATGGAAAAATATAACTTTAACATGATAACTGGTCTAAAAACTAGACATTACACACACACGCACACACACAAACTACACATACACATACAATACACACACACACATACATACATACACCCAGAAATAATTTGATTTGATAGGCAAAAAATGATCAAATTGAATAATGACAACGATTTTTTCTGCGCAATACAACAAATTGTATATACTATATCGCATTGTATTTTTGTATTAAAACCAGGTACTGTATTGTTTGCGTATCATAACGTTGTGTTGTTTTGTAAATGTTGATCATTATGACGTCATCTTTTGTTTCTCTTATTATTTTTTTTTATTTCGAAATTAAAGTTCGTTCATGAATTTATTTTTGTAAATATTGTAGAATGATTTTATTGATTGATTGATTGATTCGTTCATTCATTCATTCATTCATTCATCTATCCATCCATCCATTCATTTTATTTCTTTCATTCATTCAGCAAATTTAACTTAACGCTGTTTTTTTTAACTTGAAAATCTTCAACAAAATTCTTTTTTCTTAAATTAAAAAAAAAAAATAATAAACTACTCATTAGATCTTCTAATTGAGAATTACTTAGATAAAAAATAAAGGGTAGTAACTAAGTCACGTGCCAAGAAGCTCCACCAATAAGATTTAAGAGATTAAGCTAGCTTTAACGCCATTGGCTGGCCAGAGGTTGACTCTTACATTGAACATTCTTTAAAAAAAAATGATTTTTTCAGGTAATTAATCTTTAATTTTAATTTTTACAAAAATTACAAAATATCTTTTTGATCAAAAGTGAAATATACTCAAAATTTATATCGAAATTTTTATTTCTTTGAAATTAATGAAAAAAAAAATGGATTTTTTTTATTATTTATTAGCATGCCAAACTGTCATTCAAACCCTCTGCTGCCAAATTCGATAGCATAATGGCTATCCTACAACTATAAACTATGTACGTACAACGTGTGTCTGTATACATGTGCGTGTGTGTGTGCGTGCGTGCGTGTGTGTGTGTGTACGTGGATATGTTTTATCTATTACATTTGCAAATTAAATTTCCCCTTTTTCTCATG